TACAAGTGACAATATTAAATATTAAGATTTATAAGTAATTTTATAAGTAACAAAGGATATTTAAAATTATAAGTATGAACAACATACACTAAATAAAATTTTATATTGAAAGTATTCATATTATTAACATACCATCTTGAACATGTTGAATTAGAAAACAATCGATTGAATCCATCAATTAACAACTGTAATTGGTTGACTTTGCAGTTTAGAGTCACTTAACGACTGTAATTGGTTGAATACGTAGTTAGAGTAAATTTTTTGCGGTGTTATTAAAAATTGTTTTATGTTTGTAGGTCAGCTTTGTTAAAACTTTGTTTTTGTTGATGTTTAATCATCATTACTGCGTAGTTTATTGTGTTTATTATATAATTATTTAGTAAATTGTAATGAGTATTATTTTATATTTGTTATGTCAAACTATATGCTTTATTATAGCTTATATTGTCAAACAATATGCTTATGCAGAAATGAACCTAAAGGTTTTATTTGGTTATCGTATATTGTCATTTAAAGTAACATATTGTAGATACTTATTAAGATATTGTCATTTTAAGCAATTGTTAATTGTATTTGTTAATTGTTTGTAGTTGTTGGTTATGTTTGTGTAACATTTATATGAGCTTTAGTTTTAAAAAGGATTGAATCACCTTAATACACGACCCTTTTATATCAATTTTCTTGCGAAAATTGATTAATACTAACATATGAGCAAATAAATTTGTCTGACAACATGTATACTAGTACCCCCTACTGTTGCCGCCCTAGTCTACGTACTGCTTTCAATCACATCAATTTGAAAAATCTAAATTTAAAGGAGTCAATATTTACCAATTTACATCAGCCGTAATTAAATTAATTACCTTAATAAACCTTAAATAAAAAATCAAAACCATCTTCTGCAATAGTAATTTCACAAAAACTGTTCTTCTTAAATTCAAGTGGAAAATATTTTGCATGGCTTCATCTGATGAGTCTGAACCGGAGTCGGAGGAGTCCTTGGACCTCACCGATGAAACCAAAGATTGTGTTGTAATTCAGGGTAAGCTATTATCAACGAGGTGTATGTTCATTGTAAAGGGGGGTGAAGTCGACGATATCGGTAATGAGGTCCACATGAGTATTGGAAACTCTTTTAATAAAGTGTTCTGGGAGTGGTCAAAGATGACATGTGTGCTTGCTAAAGACATAAGAATGTACATCCGAGGGGAACTGATAGCCCCTGAGGACACACCGCATGACATGGGTATATGGAACAATGATGTCGTCCTCGTCTATGATAAGGTATATTACTTGCACTACATGCGATAACTAATTTTGTTATTGAGTTTATTTTAAAAGTAATTGGTTTGTTTTTTGTTTTGTTAGGAGGGAAATCCATTGCCAGCATGTCCTGTAGGTGAGACAAGAAGAAATCATAAGAGTATTACTATTGCAAACCTCATAACACGTCGAGATACTATAGGATATCGAGCTAAGGGAGACTCCAAAGTAATTGAGATGTACAAGTTGTGGGCAAATATAATGAGGGTTGACGAGCAAAGAGTCCGTCTATGGCTAGATGGTCAGGATTTAAATGATGCCAAGACTTTGGTTGAAGAAAATGTCCCTGACGGTGCTCTGGTTTATGCACATATCGAGCCATTAGGATACCGAAGGAATGCTATCAGGTTTAACCCAGCTTATTACCGATAAATTATGGTAATTATTAACAATTAGATATATAAATTAGTATATATGACAATATTAGATAAAATATTTTCGGAATTATGGCACTATTAGATATATGGGTAATTATGACAATATTATATATAGAAATTATGGGTAATATCATGTTTTGAGTTACTGAAATATCATGTTTTGGGTGTCTTTTGGGTTTATTAATGATATGACATGTGAAAATGAAGTTGTAACTAAGTATTGTAATAACAATGATTTGATGATGCTATAAATGGTTTGATGATGCTGTAAATGGTTGATTATGCTGTCAATGGTTGATGCTGCTGTTAATGGTTGATTATGCTGTCAATGGTTGATTATGGCTTGATGATAAAGGTTTAATGATTAGTTTGATGATGCTTTAAATATTGGGTTAAGCTAATATAATTTATCATATTATTTATCATCTTGTGAAGCATTTACTACTGTGAACTAACATCTTGTGAAGCATTTACTATGCAGTAGCATTATATTAATTTTTAATACAAATATGACAATACGAATGTGTCAAAATGACAATATTAAATTTTGAAATGACAAAAGTAAAACAGTCAACATAGTAAAGGACGCTCTAATAAAATGACAAAAGTAAAAGAGTCAACATAAGTGAAAGAGGCAACAAAATTAGATTCATGAAATATAAAAGAGTCAACAAAATAGTCAACAGAAGTAGAATATTCAACATAATAAAATTTATATACAACATAATAAAATTTAAAAGAGACAACATAATAAAATTTAAAGGAGTCAACATAATTAAAAGAGTCAACATCTTGTTTACCAAACCAACAACATTCCAAACAAGGCCATAGTTAGTACATAAGTGGCCCACAGAGTAAGCCCACATAGAGGCCAATAAAATTCATGAAATGAATTGAAATACAGTATATAGCCTAAGTATTGTAATAACGTGAAGTTGGGCCGACGAAAGATGGTCCAGCAGAAGGTGGTCCAACGTTGTCAAGGGCCTAAAACAATATATAATTAGTTAAATCAGTAACATATAATGCCAATTTACAGCCCTAAAACAATATATAATTAGTTATATCATAATTTATAGCCCTTATATATGTATAGGAGGAGGAAATACCTCAATTGTACCTGTTCCTTGAATGGTCTCTCCTTGCATCCCAACAAACATGGATTTATAGTTAACCGATTTTGAATCCCAAAGAGCAATGACACCACCACTTAGGCCCACACCGTGGTAGCCATGTTCAACCAGTTTAGAACATAGAATTTTCTTATGAATGTGTATCCATTTGGTATATTGACTACGAGTCTCAACCAAAATGAATACAACAGGTTTATGTTTACGAGTGATGACATCATAATTACTGACAAATGACGGTCGAGCAACATCTCTAACATTCCATATTACAATTGGAGTTCCATATGGTAAAATAAGTGAGTTATTGTTGTGGGGGGTAAGTCGGACAACATAGTATCGAGAATCAGGCAAATCTTTGTTTAGGTAATCTTGGGTGACTCCAAATTGAAGACTACTTATATTACCATGAACGTGGAAAACTGAAAGGGCATCACTCACAGACCCAATTTTAACTACAACAGGAGTTGAACATAGACAATAAATAGGACAATCGACATTTAAAAAGGGGACAAGATCGGCTATATCAGTTAGGGGTGGTGGAACAATTTTAGAGATCGTGTTCATAGCCGCAAAATTGAAGGAATCTAAAATATATTTTATTCCGGTAGGGTGAATAACTCCACATAAGCCATTATAATTTGAAAGATGAGCAGGTTTTGTGATACCTGCTTCCGAAATCATTTGCAAACAGGACATTGAAATGGGGCACGCCGCATCCGGGTTCCTAACCAATGCTCTCACATCAACATCGTCCACTGCCATAAACTGGATGACCCCTTCTTCATCTTTCATTACGAAGCCGTACTTGAAATTATTGAAGTCCATTTCAGTGGTATTTGAGGTATTTGGTCCAAAGTACAAGATCTCCATTGGAGAATCTATACCATGGCAACCGTCAGGATACTTAAGATTGTTTAGAGAGTAACGGTGTGACATATTTTTAAATATATCTGCTCTAGGTTTGGTTTGGTAATGAGTTTTTCTACACCTTATATAGGATGAATTCGAATTTAAACTACGCATGTTGGACAATAAATGATAAGAATTGGACTGAAATGACAATTTACTGAAGTATTACTGAAGTATTGCTGAAGTATCACAGGATAGAATAAAAAAACAAGAAAAAGTGAAAAGATAACAGTGCAAAACACATGAAAAGACAATACATATGATTAAGCCTTCAAAATGAACATCGTATTACTTACACACATTATGATAACATATGATAACCCTTCAAATTTAACATCAAATTACATACATACATATTATAGTAACATAAGCCATCAAAAATGAACATCGTTTTACTTGCACACATTACCAAATGTAACTTATGAACAAAACCAAAAACCGTCAAACATTACCAAATGTAGTGCATCTAATCAACTCCATTCAAGACCATGTCTTCTTATAAAGTCATCTTAAAAAATGGGGGGCAAAATTGAATCTGCACTAACATCATCTTAATATCCTTCCTTGTCAACATCTCCACCAACAAACTGATTTGGCGGGACGTAGGACGGGGGAGGCATATCCTAAAATAGTAATTTGACAGTAAAATGTGAAAAAACATTATTTTATTTTATTGCATTATATGTAACAGAAATAAGTAACAAAATCTAAAATAAGTATTGGAAACTATAATTGCCTATAATTATTAGATGATACAGAACTAATAAATCAAGAAATACAAATTAAGCATAAAAGTAACATGAAAATTGTAAGTTTGGTGGTGTATTGGTGGTGGTGTAAATTACTAGTAGTAACCGAGATTTACCATAATATCATTCCCTACGGTGTCTTCACTAACCTGCATGGAATAACATATTATGTTAATGACGCTACCTACTTTAGTGTTGATAATCAAAAGGTACTATACATATTAATACCTGAATGGAGTTTGTAAAGGTATGTGGAGACTGGGGAGTTTCTACTACACATTCATCAGTGTTTTCTTTTGCTGTAGCCTTCTTTCTTGCCCGCTCATCTCGAGCCTTCTTAGCTGCATATTTTTTCCTATGCTCTTCCTTCTGCCTTCTATCTTCCTCAACTGTCGTCATGAACCGACAAGACCGCACACAACTTGGACCCCTCTTGCTATGAGGATCTTTGATAGTCACAGGGTTTGGTTCGGCTGGTTTAGGTTGACTTTCCACCCCAACAGCACCATAAACTACACTTCTAGCAAATGAAGATGGGTTTGTCTTGATGGACCAACACATTTCTTCTTTTTGACACTAGGAGGAGTAGTCCTGTTTCCAATCTCGCCAACACTACTTATCGGGATGACTGGTGTAGTTTTTTCCTTCACCTTCATCTCCAACTCTTTCAAGCCCTCAATAACCATCTGCATAGTTTCATCCATGTCGCTAGCAAGACATGACAAAGGCTCAAATGCCAACATCAGTTTGTCATATCGAACAACTTCTTGAGTTTTTGTTGGATCATGGAAGGCAACTTTAACTCTCGTGTGCTTCCGGTAAATGTCTTTGCGCCATCTATCCAATATGTACCTACTAGGTACATCAGACACTTTCTGCGTTTCAAGAGAATTTAGGCAATGTCTGCAAAGAATCCCAGAGCATTCAAACATTTTTCACTCACATTCTACTCGCTGATCTTCACTGTAGTATAAAAAACGGTAAGTCTGCCACTTGTTGATCGGCTTCTCCTTCTTCTCAAATTCAACCCACACATATACTCTGTCTTTTATTAAATGTTCGAAATAGCAGGGAGATATCTCATGCATGCTACTACCAGTGCAGTACATGAGCCTCTTGCATTCCCTTTGCACCTCCATAAACTTTGAGTCAGTGTACACATTCCGAAATGTTTCCTTAAACTTGAAATCAGTCACTAGACCACGTAGGAACATGGCCGAGTTACCATCTGCCAGCCTCTTTGACAGCAATCGCTGCTCCATAGCAGCCACATACTTCTCAGCAAAGTCCCAAAGTCTAGTGTTCCTGCCGAAGAACTCATCTAAAAAATTATGAATGCTTTCTGACCTCTGTGTAGTCTTCATTCTTGCCCAGAACAAATGCTTCATTGCAGCTGGAATCCACATTTCCCTCTCATCATATAAAACAGCAAGCCACATGTTACTGGCTAACTTATGCTTCTCAATAAATTCCTTCCACCTCAATTCAAACTCCTCCATAGATAAATTGTCATAGATTATATTTTTCAATTCCTCCTTAAAATCTACGTACCCCTTACACTTCCCTAACTTCACACAAAATTTTTCTGTAATGTGCCACAAACACCATCTGTGTCTGGTTTGTGGCATCACAGCTTTCAATGCTTTGCGCATCGCTGGATCTTGGCCAGTCAGTATAGCCGTAGGAGGGTCCCCTCCAACAACATCAAGCCATGTTGAAAACATCCACCTGAAACAACAATTAAACAACAATATAACAATTACAATATGAAAATATGACAAATCAAACACATAAATGACATAATAACATAATTGGCTAACAACAAACACTAAAAAATAAATTTGAAGAAGAAAATTAAATTGATATAAGAACGCACTTAAAGGTTTCAGTGTCCTCGTGGGAGATTAATGCGCATCCAAGCAATATTTTTTTCCCGTGATGGTTAACACCAACAACATTTGCAAAGGGCAAGTCATACTTATTCATAAGGAAAGTGGTGTCAAAACAAACAACATCATCAAAATCCTCATACGCAGTCCTACTGCGTGCATCTACCCACAACACATCCTGAAGAACTCCATTATCATCCAACCTATGTACATGGTAAAAGTTCTTATTGTTCTTCTGCATCATTTTAAAGTAATTCATCATGACATTCACATCTCCATCCTTAAATTTCAATTTCTTCTCCTTCACAGCCAAGTTATTCAAATCCTTTGTGGTTAAAGCCACATTTTCATATCCATTCCGCTGACTAGCCAACCACCTATGGAGTTTTGCGTTAGGCAACCCAACATCATTACCAAAGTGGAGTGCACGCCTAACATACGGTACCTTCTTCAATTCTTCTAACCTATACTTTGTTATCAGCATTGACTTTGATGGGGAAAACATATGGCTATGACTTAAGCACACTTTCCTCAGCTCCCATTTCCCATTAGAAGTCAAGCTACCATACAACATGGCCCCGCAACCACATTTTTTTTGATTTTTTAGTGGCAACAGGTTCTCCTTCAAACTCCCTAGCAATTCTTTTACCACCGACCTTCCTTTGAGTGTCAGGTTTACCAGCACAGTCGCATTTCCATGTCACTTCCCGTTTTATCTTACTTCCATCTTTAAAGTGCTTGTATGCACTTTGGCCACGTACCACCCCAAAGCCTTGCTGTTTCCCATAAGCATTGAAATAGACATCTATTTCTTGCCACGAATCAAATATCATCCCTATTTCAGAAGGGTCGACATTCAAAAACCTCATATCCACCAGATCACCTCCACCATTCCCCTCTCCATCCAGAGCCGGCCCTTAGGGTGTGCGGCATGCGTAACGGCACAGGGTCCAAAATCACTTGGGGCCTCAAAGTTTAATATATACAAAATTGTTGTATAAATTTCTAGTGTTATTGTTGTGGATTAGTGGTAATTATGGTGATACTAATTCTTGAAGATACGTGGTTCGAGCCTTGCTTATGTACTTTTTCAGTTTTTATTTTATTTTTATTTTTTTTATTTTAATTTTATAATTTAAAGGTTTGGATGTTCTTTAGATTTTCAAATACTTCGTCTGTGCTTTAATTTTCATTTTAGTCTTTTTTTTGTCTGATTCCGTTCCTATATTTTGGAAGATTGTAACAATATTTATATTTTTATCCCCAATAATGGTCCCTTGACTCAATTTCATTTTTAGAAAATATTACCATTCTCTATCTTATTTACAATAACCCGTAAATACTTTTTTATTTTTGCTTTTCAACATATTTTGATCTCTTCAATAGTATTACAAAAATTACATTTATTTCTTTATTCTAAACCTCTGCAACAAATAAATCATGGCGGAGCATTTAATAAAAAAATGCAATATTATTATACGTTACTTGAAAAAGGGGGGGGGGGGGCAAATGTATCTCAATTGCGCAGGGCCTCCATAATAGTTGGGACGGTCCTGTCTCCATCCACCTTCCCTTCAGCTTCATCTATAGACCTTGAGTCACCACTATCACCAGCCCCTTCTCCATCATATTTTATAAGCTGCAACATTTCTTCATCATCATCATCAATTGATAGCGGAACATCATCTTGCACAACTAACTCCCCCTCCTCCTCCTCCCTATATTCCATGTTTTTTACTGCCAAAAAATTAAATTCACATTTATCATTACATTGTTATATATATATAACAGCAGTAGGCTCCTACCTAATGATCAACAGGTAAATCAGTTAAGGGAAGCATTCTACCTCATGCTCATGCTCAGAACACAGTGTAAAAGATAACATGCTTATGTTCAAACACAAATCCACAACAAACAACAAACATGTTCATTCTGTCTATCTTTCCTTATTAGGGAAAAGTACCAAAAGTATTCATTCACAAATCAACAACAACCACCAAAACGATCGTTCCAATAAGATCAAACAAAACATGACAATGAATATTACATGCATGTTACATTTTGGTTATATTATTGTGGACACCCATTTGTGTCTCCCCAAAACCAAACCCGGTGATGATTACCTTTCATGTCAAATCATAATCAAATGAAGTGAAAGTGTAGAAAGTTTAGTGTTGCGGATAGTTTCAATTTCTTTTCTCTTCTCTCTGTTTTTAAAAACCTATTTTAAGAAAGCAGCCAATCCAGTTTTTTGGGTCCATGATATGGGTCCAATAATAGTGTAGTTGGATAGGGCTTGAAAAGAGCTTTCCGACGATATATTATAAGCCCAATTCCGATGAATGTTGAGGAAATTATGGCCAAATTACTGAATTGGGCCCGGTTTGAGCCTTATATGCGGCCCAATGATCTAGAGGAGGGCCTAATATAGATTTATCATTCCTAATGCAATTAGGAATGGTTTTAGTCTTCTAGATTATTCTAGAAGGTTCTTTTCATTCCTAATTCAATTAGCATTGATAAATTGACTTTTGTTGACTTTTTAGAGTTTTAATCAGAGCAAAAGAATGTTTTTGAGGAAAATACGATTTTATCCTCCCGTACGGTCAATTTCTATCTGATTTTAGAAAACGCGTCAATAATTAAGTTAGCGCCAAACGCCAACATTAGCACCTGACGCTAAGCTTGGCGCCTGGCGCTAATATCAGCGTTTGACGCTAATCTGGTTTTACGCGTCAGAACTCTGTTTTGATTTTTTATCTTTTCGGCTGATTTTCTTTATAAATAGCCTTCTAAAAACTCCGTTTTCATTAACCAATTCTCTTCATTCACCAACTCTCATCAAGAAATTCTTGATTACTCTCTCTTTCTCTCTCTGTTTTGTAAACTAGCTTCTCTCAAATACAAAATTCCGCATTCGCAATACTTAGATACACCTATCCATATTCGAAGTTGACTTCGCCCTAGACGTGAAAGGTTTTAATTTCTGAGGGTTTGGTCTCAAATCTCTCTTTTAATTATTTAATTTAATTGTTTTAATTATTATTTTCCTTGAAGTTACTAACGCGTGTATTTTGTTATTAGAAAGAGGTACGAGGCATCCAAGTAAGTGCTTTAATTGATTTTATTGATATTATGATATAGAAATCATGTCTAGGTTGTTATTATGATTCTTAGCATCATGTTAGGATGCTTGATGTTTTGAATGACAACAATGATTCCTAGTATTATGTTTAGGGAAAAGGTTATAATATCAAATATGATAATTATGATTCCTGCGATGCTTCATATTTTCTTTCCTAATATTCATGTTAGTATCATGTTAGGGCTAAAGCTTTGATTTTTATTGTTTAGTAACATGCCAGTGTTTGTTATTAATCTTGTTAGTATCATGCCTAGGATCTTGCTATTATGCTTCAACATGATTATTTTTTTTATAATTGTTATGATTATGATTGTTATAATTATTATTATGATGATTATTATTATGTTGCTTGATTATATTTATTGTTATTGATTGATCACACCTTTTATGCATGTTTAAAGGGAATTGGTACTTGTAATCACGCTTAATAAGATAATTAATAATCTTGTTTAGGGTTAATTATGATTATAATTCAAGTGATCGCCAATAATAGACTTATTTGTGCATTAATATTCAACCAACATAGATAAACAAGTTTAGGGTTAAACCAATTGATTGCATGTTAGTCAGAAAGAGCACATGAATAGGATCAGAATAAAGTAGAGGCCTATTATTAAGGCATGTTCAATCTCTTTTAGGTTGGATTTGTACCTTCATCCCCGAACTACCAGTCATGGTTCAAGACCTATTGGAGTTTACGATCTTTTGGATCGTTAAGGGGTGTAACCTTCACCTCGTGAACGGTTTACAAGTTCCTAAAACTTGTTGACGACTCTTTTGCTCTATCTTCTTTCCCTTTGGACGCCACCGTACTTTAGTGTATGATCACAGTGGGGTTCAAGCTAGGGATTAACGCTATATTGTCATTTTTTTCTCTTAAATACTGTCATACGATAAGTATCTTGACAACCAAGAACAACACATTTTACATTCGTCAACCCCAAAATAATAAATATAAATCAGTTCAATATCCAAAATCCGAAGAAAATAGACCAAATTATGTCAAAATCAGTAATGATAATAATGAATCAGTAAATCAGTATCTATCCAGCCAAGTTTAGCTAATTCAATAATACAATTACTCAAATTTAGCTAATTCAATTATACAATTACTCAAATGTAGCTAATTCAATCATAAATACAAGTTAATTGTTCAAATTCTTTCAATTATACAATTAAACAAATGAGTTTTACTCACCAAAATGCCCGCTAATACCGAAAATTGATGTTGCCGGACCAAACCTACCGGAATCCGACGACAACCCACCAGATTAACATACCGTACCGCGCCGCTAGTCGAAGAACTACGAACTTGTTGAAGAACATTAATGGAGAACTTTAGTTGGAAAGGGGAAAGTAAGGGGGAAAAAATTGAAAACGGGAAAATGGTTATAACGGTATAGAGAACCGCGCAAATACGTATTTGTTTCGCAGATGGGTCCCGCAAGAGTACGTTTATACGTCAAATACATATGTGGGCCCTGCTTTTGCTTGTGCTGGGAAAACAAACCCCAGCAATTTGCTGGGTTAAGCTTTAGCCAGACATGTCAATTCTTTACTTAATAACCTAATAACCTATATATCCTACTATATTAGGATGTTGATATGCAACTTATTTTTCTATGTACTGTGTGAATCATCCGGTTTCATGAAATTGATATTGTATGGTTTTATATACGTAGTATATATAAATATAGCATGAGACAAGGTGTAGTTGTATACACAATAAATGTTGTTGTATAACAATAAATGTATATACATATGTATGGTGCTCATGGTGCACATCACAAAAGATGACACATATCAACATGTGTTGTAGCACTTTTTCTCCCTACCCATAAAGTATTCTCATTAAGAGCATCAATGACGAAATTGACATGCATTTAGTTAATTAAGGAGACTAATAATACATACTAGCTACAAAAAACAAAAAATGAGACTAATAAGTATTTACTATTTAGGATATTGGTTCAAGTTTTCATCGAATTTGTACATTATGTGTATTATTTTCGTACAACAACTTTAAAGAAGTGATTTACAGACAATTAAACATGTAGGTGGTCAATGGTGTGCCTGTGCTACTAATTCAGTGAAACCCATAGCTAGTTAAAAGTGAAGGGGAAATTGCATGTGCTAAATGGATAATAATAATAATCTTTCTACATACAGTTGTATGAATACCAAGCTAACATAGGTTGTCGTATACTTGTCAAAAATTAATTCCTAACAAATCCAACTAAGGGTAAGTAGGGTCGAATTCACAGAGAGATGGTATTTCATCTAAAATCTAAGAAATTGGAGAAACTAAACAAGTCACGAAATTTGGATAGAAAAGTAATCTAAATTAAAATAGGAATAAAACAATTAATAAAAAGACCTAGGGTTATGGTTCACCATGTGTAGGCGTCGCTCGAAGTGCGCCTACGTTAAAGCATGTGGTGAATATGCTTGACACTCTTAGGAAGTGGGAATTGACATAATACGATTAGGGACAAGGAAAGTAGGGAGCCGCCAACAAGTTTTTAAGGAACCTGTAAACCGTTCACGGATCATAAAAGGCAACCACGATAAAGGGACAACAAAGGCAACAACGATTGACCCGTGAAGGTTACACCCCATTCATAATCCATGAGATTACTAACTCCATATGGTTCAGAACCACGAAAGGAGGATCGGGGATGATGGTACGAAGTGAGTCATGGAATCACATTCGCCCGTATTGGC